GCCGGGAAAAGTCCCGGTGGGCCGCCGCCGCCTCCCCGACCACTTAGTGCCACTTTTTCTAAGTGGGTTTTTGTCTTTTTAATAAGTTTGAATTATTGATTGTAGCTGGTAGTGGTTTACAGAAGTGTAAACCAGTGCCCGGTACTGCCGACAACCTCGCCCATAACGGATGAGGTCGTGGGCTGCCACTACACTATACCAGCGAGCAGATTCACTGACCTGTTCTTCAGTTACCTTCTCACTGAAATTTTTGTTGGCCTTGAAAGGCGGTCATGTTGGCGTGGACAGCAGCCGGCTAATGCAAGACCGTGGATGTTGACGGTAAATACCTAATAAATGTATCCTAAACACGGGAGCCTTATAATGGGAAGGCGCTGAGCCCGTGGCTGGTGCTGAGCCCGTGGCTGGTGCTGAGCCCGTGGCTGGTGCTGAGCCCGTGGCTGGTGCTGAGCCCGTGGCTGGTGCTGAGCCCGTGGCTGGTGCTGAGCCCGTGGCTGGTGCTGAGCTACCCTGGCGAGCTGTCTCGGCAAGTTTCGCCCCAGTGGGCACAGTATCCATTAATAACATTAATTCAACGCTATTCTTGTATAATGTGCCGTCCCTGCACCACAACGACCAGAATATATTTAAGAGCTACTTACTGGCCTCTGAAGAGGTTGGTATGGCCTTAATAAAGTAACGTTATTATACAAGAGGCGTGATGCTACGTCTATCAAAACAGTTCCGCTGGCACCAGCTAGACATGGAGGCTTCCAGGCCTCATGAGGCTACGTTTACGATCGTAACTCCTATTGCTGGCTACCGGAGCCACGATCCTATGGAGTGTGGTATATATATGTTTGTTTGCCTTGAGAAATGTAAGACTCTTATTTGTATTTGTTTAATGTGATAGGTCCCGTATTGTGTTAATTATGAATTGGAGAATTGCAGAGTTAGTTTATACATGGATATACATAGGAGCTGCCTCGTATGGGCCAATAGGCCTTCTGCAGTTATCTTCATCCTTAAGTTTTATGTTTTGATAAGAAAGAAGTACTTGTAAGTTAAATGTAGACAGCTTACCAACTTAGTTTGGGGTTACTGTTGATACGTTGTCTAAATAAAGCTAGGTTACTGTTGATACGTTGTCTAAATAAAGCTAGGTTACTGTTGATACGTTGTCTAAATAAAGCTAGGTTACTGTTGATACGTTGTCTAAATAAAGCTAGGTTACTGTTGATACGTTGTCTAAATAAAGCTAGGCAACCAACCAGCTTCTTGGAAAGACGGCGAGTTTTTCTGACGAATGATATAATCAGCGGTGCGGGAGGTGGAATGTTTTCTTCTACCAGGCCGCCTTTTTCCTCTCCTACACCACCTTTCATTCATCCATCCATTCGTTTATTCATTCAACCCATCAAATGTAAAGTACTAATGTGTAGTGATGGACGTTTTACACTTGTACAAGTTTACATTTTTAACTATTAATTTCATTAACACATACATCACAGTAACGTGAGATATATAAAATATATATATATATATGTAATTGAATATATAATATATATATATATGTAATTGAATATATATATATATTCAATTACATATATTTATATACAGTACTATATATTCAATATTATATATTCCTAGACACGTGTGTGCACTATATTAGGCCTCGGGTAGCCGTGTTAGATCTAGGATTTCTAGAAGAGAGTAGGTTAAAGTTTCCCATTTGGCCAAATTCAGTAATAAGTATGTTGACCAGACCACACACTAGAAGGTGAAGGGACGACGACGTTTCGGTCCGTCCTGGACCATTCTAAAGTCGATTGTGAATGGTCCAGGACGGACCGAAACGTCGTCGTCCCTTCACCTTCTAGTGTGTGGTCTGGTCAACATACTTTAGCCACGTTTTTGTGACTCGTCGCCTGCCTTCAGTAATAAGTCACATTTCTGGGGGGTTCCATCGCTACATATTGCTACTTTCCACCAAATAATTGCTATAAGTACTATCCAGCAGGACGGGTCATCCCGCCCTTTACTCTTGTCGCGCCACAAAGTTAAGCACTAAACCTAACTGGTGAAGCCACGAATAATAAACGCAACAGCCCGTCAATTTAGCGAGCCGATGGGATTTATAGTACATGATATTTTAACGTTGGTAGTTTTCTACGTCGAAATACGATGTGTTCCTTGAGGTCTGGTTGCTATAATAAAAGAAAATGGGAAATTAACTCTGCGTGTTCTACCAGCCGAACCTGGCTTGCTAGGCTTTAATGTTTCTGAGAACACGTCTCCAGTAATGTAAGAACCTAAGCCATCGAGCAGTTAACAGAATACAAATTGAACGTTTCTAGAAACCGACGGTTTCTTTTATATGCCTTATTTAAGTTAAGCCTATTTTAAAAACTAACTCGAACCGGCAGTCGATTAAGGCAGCGCCTGGGATCCTCTCGGACGTAGCTTCGAACCCTGGCCACGGCCTTTTGTGGATTTGTTCATTTGATGCATCACGCTATTGTGATTTCTGTGTAATAGATACTGTCCTTAAAAGATTCCCCGATTTTACACCCACAAGATAACGTAAGATTTTAAGGGCTGACGAATGTTAATCTTCTTGTTTGATAATCTGTTCGCTTTAGCCAGGTAAGCAAGTCCCAGCTGCGTCTGGGTACAAGTGACAGGATGAACTACCCGGCGGGTTTTCTTCCTATTGAGGGGTGTTGTACATGCTGCTATAGCGGTGTGTCCACTCACAGGATGAGTGGCGCTGCCCAATAAACTCTCCCCTCGGCAAAATTTAAAAAAATATATATTAACTCCTATTGAATAAACAATAAGGGAATTAGTAGTCAGTGTGAGGCTTCATGTTCCCTGCGGTGAAGCCTACGGGCGGAGCGCGACAGGCATCCCTCTGGGTGGTCTGTTGTGCACCACACGAGACCCAGACACACTTACAGATGTTACACGGCCAAGGATCACATTCACTCCAAACATCTACCACCTACGGCCTATTCGTGCAATCCGTCCGCCTACAAAGAACGTCGCTTTTCGCTCGTATGCGTTACATGGGGTCAAAAATTGTTGTACTAGAAAATGGAAGCCGCTGGCGAAAGTGGCGTTAGGAGAGGACACTTTAAATTGACCGTTTTCTTGACCTTGGGAGGACGGACTGATTCATGTCCTTGCCACCTCTTGGCCTGGCTTAATCTTCAACAACAGTGCTTGCCCCTCAAAGGGCACCTGACAGCTGGGTCGACAGCGCTTCAGATTCGTAGTCCTGAGGTTCCGGGTTAGATCCCCAGTGGAGGCGGAGACAAATGGGCAAAATGTTTCTTTCACCCTGATGCCCCTGTTACCTAGCAGTAAATAGGTACCTGGGAGTTAGTTGCTATGGGCGGCTTCCCGGGGGGTGTGTAACAAAAAGGAGGCCTGGTCGAGGATGGTCGAGGACCGGGCCGCGGGGACGCTAAAGCCCCGATATCATCTCGGGATAACCCCCCCACCACACCCCCATCCCCTACGGCAAAGAAAATGTGCCTCGAAGGCAATTTAGTAAGGCGAGACCTTCCTATATATTCGTTAATCTGCTGAATAAGATGTTCGTGTTGTTCCAATGTTTTCCCTTTTTCAAACAACATAGCTCTTATAATCATTGTTCGAAAAGACCAGAACATTTGCCAGTTTCGTGTTGGGCTCGAGGCCTAATACCCTCTGGAGGGTTATTAAGGCAACTAAAAGTGCTTACAGACTAATCAGCAAGTGTACATACGTTCTGGACGTTGTCCAGGACTTGCATAAACTGTCTACATAGTTGACCAGACCACACACTAGAAGGTGAAGGGACGACGACGTTTCGGTCCGTCCTGGACCATTCTCAAGTTGATGACCATTCAGTCATCGTGTATGTAGACCATTCGGTCTACATACACAAAGAAGCAAGGTACACCTCTAAGTAACTGCTATATAGGTATTCTAACTTGCCCTTTTATCATAATTATCTTGCCTTGAGGAAGCCTTTCTATTAACACCTTAGTTGAAAAAATTTGAGTAATTATGATCTGATAATTAATTTTCACATCAGACGATGAGTAATTGTTAATTATATAATAGTGTGAGGTGCACATGTCGTGAGAGCCGTAGAATCAAAGCTGAACACTATCCAGAGTGCCGTTTACTTTGTTAGGTAAGGGCTGAGGTAGTCATATTACATTGCAAATATTACAATTCACAAATCAAATCAAATTACAAATATTTGTAATTGGCTGGTAACATTTATAGTGGTGGTTATCCGGCCGGCTCGCCAAGAACCTTGTGACATGGGCCGGACCGCTTAGAAAATGGTGTGAGCCGGGCAGATAGCACCACCAATTTCCACCTCGGAGTTTTTGTCCTTAGTTGTTAGGGATGTTTATGGAACTTATAAACTATTGTATGCATGATCTTGTTTAAAGTACTAGAAGTAAGTGATATTTGCTCGTGTCCCCATATTCTCATATATACTGTTTGGAGATGTTGACAAGTGGTGGCAGTAGGCTATACCGAAATATTTTCAACTGGAATATTACATTTGGGACTGATCTGATGGTTGTAGCACAAGTAACAAACCTGCTACGGGCTGCTTCCTGGAGCTGTATGTGCGTGTGTAAGAGAAATATATGTAGTAGATATAATAGAGGAAAAGTAGATTGGTTTATAAGGCGGGGTCCAAGAGCTAATAATTCGATTCTGCAGATACAAATAGTAAATACATAGTCATGGACTCGCAAGCGAGAGACCCGGGTTCTGCTTACCTAAGTAGGTACTTGAAAGTTAACTGTTGTGGTTTTTATAGTGATTATATATAAAATATTATACTATGCAGTATAATTATATAGATATTTTATATATGATGAAATAGGTCGGGAGTCGGTACACTGAATAATTGACAGAAAGGCGGAGTCCAAGAGCTAACGCACGCAAAATTATTTCTAGTAATGATGGCGAGTTACACAATATAGTGTTGACGTTTCTCCCGACAGTGTTGTACCTGTGGGCGCTGACGGCGGCCTGGCGGTGTGGATTGGTCGACGCTCTGGGCTCCCCGCTCCTGGGTCCAGATATAATGAGCTTCGAGTCCCTGCCGCCTCTGACGCTGTGGCACCCGGCCTCCAGTCCCCTGGCGCCCTCTCCCCCGGTACAGTCCGGCCTTCCGGCTCCAAAAGGAACCGATTTCGACGGGCCTGACCCAGGCCTAAATGCTGCCATTATTAGTAAGTCTGTAGTCCTTGTTTTCTAACACTACAAGAACTGTTTATATCACGGCGTTGGGTGACCGAGCACTCTTGAGTGACTCGTTATTCATTCATTTACATTTAGAGAGTTCTTACTATAGGCTATATTTACTTGGCATTTGTGATAAGATTGTGTTTTGGTGCGACGGCATGCACCGCAGCACACGCTGGTGTGATGCCATACACTTCCAAACTTCATGACCCAGTAACTTACACGTGTGTTTCAGCTGTGCCGACGAAGCCCTGTCCGAGTGGGTACCGGTTGGACTTGAACGAGGTGTGTCGCCTTAAGTTTGGTTACGGACCAAACCCATTCTACTCCTTTACGCCCGAGAACTTCAAGGGCGACGTCCAGTTCTACATGGGCCTTCAGGTGAGATATTTAAGTTTTTCCAATATCTGGTAATGTGTAGGTTCTTCCTTTTATCATTTTTGTTTTCATGAATGTCCTTGTGACAGGTAACATAGGGAAATTAGCTTCCAAAAATATTAAGTAATTAGTGAACAAAGCCGCCAAAGACTGAGAAAAGATGTATAGGTTTGTAAGTAGATGTGTAAGTGCTTGTTGAATCCTGGCCCGCCTTAAATATGCTCAAGTAACTTTAAACTAACGAAAAATCATCATAAAATCAAATTAGGATCAACATTCTCAACGTAGATTCAATGTTACATCAACGTAGATTGTACAGGACAATTCGCATGGCTGTCATGTCCAATTTCTCTGTTTCAATTTCGAAATTTCGAAATCTGGTCAGCACTGACACACTAGTTAAACCAATAACCGATTAATTCATGACAGTTCAAATCGTGACGGAATGATGGCTGAGTTTGAGGTATGTTTGGTGTCGTTGATATTGTTCTGGCGTAACTATACAAGGGCCATTGTTCTGGCTAGGGGTACATAGCCTGCCTGTCCCCAAGAGAAAGATTTATTATGAAATTATATTTAACCGAAGGCCACAATCTTCATTGGCCTAGACTAGGGATAGGAAGCCGGCGGCTTGTCAGTGGTCCTCCATTGTTCCAAAAGATTGTTGTTTACGGAATTTTAAACTAATGTTGTTGATTTAGGGTCGACGACGATCGTGGGCTGGGCTAGACCCTGGGCTACCAATCATAGCTTCAGGTTCTCCATGGCTAAGACCTTTGTTATGACAATCGAATTTTGCTGGGTACCCACTCATTGGGGGTCACCTCAAGTAGACCTGTGGACACCGCTGCAGAGGCCATTAATAGGTGCTTGTTCCCTCTCCACGCAGAAGAATCATTCAGGTTTTAACCTTCATGACAATTCGTAACCGTTGGCAAGATAGCTGGTCAAGTATTACTGATAGGCTAATTTTAATAGAATGTAGTTTGCTATCTTCTGTGCCGCCTTCCTACCGCTCGTAACCGCCGTGTTTCCACATATTGGTCAAACATGTTATTAACTCATCAGGGTTACTTAATGGAACAAAAATCCAATTACTATTGTCTGAACTACGTGGTTTCCTTCGCAGTCGTTCACCTCGTGGACTCTCGGAATATTGCTTTCAAATGACCCTTTGAGTCGGTTCATATTTGACGTCGGTCATTGTCATTTTGCTCTCGCATTGACGTCCTTAGTGATGTTTAGGACCTTTAGACTATCCCTCGACAAAGACGGTGCTAAAAGCGTGTTCTTGGCTTGGTGTCGTCCTTTGATAATTACTTGCTGCCCAGTCTGCAACCCACAAGTTCCTAACTCCCAGGTACTGAACAACTGGAATGTAGTAAGGAAACTTGCGTGCCTAAATTCCTTAATCTCCCCGGGGAAACTAGTCTGGTAATTACCGATCTGATCTGACTGCGCTATCCACTCTAATCTGCATCCGGATGCCATTTTTTTTAGCATAGTTACCTTGAACAATTGCATAGGTGCAGGAGCACCTTCGCCTTGAGCATCTGTAATTACCCTTGACCATTTAAATTCCATTGCCGGCCTCTTATAACTGCGATCACCAGTGTCTCTTTTTTTTCTCTCGCTTAAATATGCAAAGTTAATCTTCATTTTTACCATCTTGTAGCTACACTTTGACAGATAATCAGTGATGTGTACGCTTATTAGGTTTTTATTATGCTGCCTTCAGGGTAAAGTCCTTGTTTGGTTATAAGCTAAGGGCAGAGGTAGTGTTGAAGCCTCGCCACCTGACGTAGCGGCGGACGTAAAGGTGAGGGGTGAGGTGCCTTGCTTGCAGCCATGCCGCGTCAGGTCGACCTCCGACACCCTAGTCAATTACAATATCGATGGAAAAGTTCCACCCACCGCCTTAAAATGTAAATGCGATATAGGAATAATAACAAAACTTAATTTATTTTATTTAAATAACTACAATGAAGCTTTTGTTTTTAATTTTCGTGAGCAAAGGATGCATTCTTGCAGCACCACTAACACAGCGTTTTGGGTAAATCTTAAAGGCTGACAAGATGGTTGAGGTATCCATTGTTAATTTCCAGTGACTTCATACGTAATTAGTTTCTAAAGAGTAGCCTATGTAGTTATGAAAAATTTGAAATTGGAATTATATTGCCGTAATTAATTACACCCCCTTTTAAGCACAGCTTTTCAGGCAAGACTAAAGCTGACATATCAGCAGATTGACGCAGCATACCTAACATTGTCTTATAAATTATTCAGTTGTAAAAGTGGCATGATTAGCTTTAAGGTAGCTAATATTACCACTATTTATATTGCATCCAAGTTGACGTTGCACGAGGATTGATGCAGTAAGATATGTTTAGTTTAATGATGTAGCAGGTAGGAAAAAAAAAACAAGAAAATCACTGAATTGAATTATTAACGTGTTGCTGCTGTTGCAGTAATTTAAATATTGCCATGTGCGGTAATGGCTTTGCAAGAGCGTAATTTAGACCAACATTGTCACAGGTCCCATTGATCTTTCTAACAAGATATCTACAAAAAAAAAATTGTTCTCCAATATTTAAATAGTTTTGTATATACTGTATACTTATTTTAAATAAGTGTTTTTGATCTACAGTACTGCGCATGAGTGTAGTTTGCTTGTCGACTTTACTATTGTTCCCTTAAATCAACATGTACTGGAAGTGACCCTGGCGTTCCCATGTAGAGTAAAATGCAAAGCCTTGTAGCTATATACACACCTGTCGGCGGAAACCATATTTGGCTTGCGGCAGATAAAATTAAGACAGATGCAGACGATGAGTCACAATAACATGGCTGAAGATATAATGACCAAACCACACATCAGAAGAAGAAATGACGACGAAGTTTCGGTTTGTCCTGTACTTTTATAAAGTATGTGTTGGGCAGATATATGGCGACCCCTTGGCGCCCCCAGGGGAGGAGAGTGACAGTTCTTCACCCCACATAGAACCGGCTGGGAGACTATAAACAGTGACTAGACTGTAAGGCATCCTGTGAACTATGGGTATAGTTCAACAAATTAAATAAAGCCCAATCGGGCAGACGCATAAACTTGTTCCACTGACTTCCAGTAGTGCCAAGAGCCTACCTCACTCTGAGGGCACACCACGAGTCTCCAGCTCCCAGCACCTCTGTCAAGCCAACGTCGTACAGGCACTTCGTCCAAAGATCCAACCGGAAGACAGAAAATCCTCTTAATTTTCCTGTGACCCCAAGCAATAAATGCGACAGGCACTTAATAGTAATGGGCCGTTGAGAAGGAATACCTAATAATTAAATACCTAATACGCGACACAACCTAATAGTTGTCTAGACCCAATGATCAAAATCGCGTCATGGGTTCCAGTGGTCCCCAGGCGGACCCAGGTGTCTGGACGTCCACTTGTTGTCAAGGTTGAACCAGGATTCCCTGTATTCACCTAGTTGTGCTTGTGGGGGTTGAGCTCTGGCTCTTTGGTCCCGCCTCTCAACTGGTGTACAGATTCCCGAACCTACTGGATTCCTGAGCCATACAGAAATTTGAAAATATATGGGTCTGCCTCCACCATATAACTGCCTAATGCATTCCATCTGTTAGCCGAGATGTCACAGGGCCGCTGTTATAAACTCGTCACCATGTAAACAGTTTTTTTTTTAGTACTCATATGATCACATTCATAGAGCTTTATTAAATCATTATATATTTTAACATTAGCATAACAATCGTGACATGATCACTCATTCCTTAAAAAAGCCATATAAAGACCATATAAAGAGCCAAAACAAACTACTATGAAAATAATTTAATCAAAGAGCAACAAAGAAAACATGGAGAACTTTTTCCCAAGTATTAGGATCAAAGAACTTTAGTAAGACACAGCACTAACATTGGCTAGGAGTATTATCTGGCCCCGAGTGTGCCATTAAATTCAATATTCTCATCCAATGGCACATCCCTTGCAAATGAAATACCTGCATCCCAAACAAATATTAATGACTACCTTACAAGCAAAATTTTTGTTGGGCATTTTGGACTTTAGGTTAGGTTTCATTACATTTGGTTACTGTAATACAGTATATTATTGATGATAATTTGAAATATGGAATTTGAGAACTATTTCAGTGTACCAGAGAATTTGGTTTACAAAAAAACAAATTCTTCAAAAAATGTTTTCAGAATACTTTTTATATTTTAAACAAACAATTTATAATGCAATGAAGTTATAACTTGAGAATACAGTAATATTTTTGTGACAGGGTCACTTCCCAGTTTACATGTAGACTATTACTGGAACCATGACATGCTTTCAGACCATCACAAATATCTAGATAACTATCAAAGTGCTTTGAAGGTGTGGTTTCTCTTGGTAATGGATTTGCTTAGAGGACATGCTCAATACTCGAGAGAAGTTGATTGGCATATTTTGTATACTTGCAGGTTGGTGGTGAATTTCCTTCAAGAAGAAGAGGACGTGTAAGAGGACGTCCACGAGCCCCTTTATTCCAAGATTCCTCTAACCCTGGTCAATCCTCTGATGATGATGATGACTAGCAACTGTCTGCTAATTTAATACAAAATTACCTAATGGATTTCTTCTGTTAGGATTTACAGTGATGGTCATTATTCATTGTTCTCATTAATAGAGATTTTCTACAAATTTAATAAGGTTAACTTTACTACTGTAAAGTGTCTTCCAAACAGTGAATACTGGCTTGTCATGAAAAGAAAAGCAGTTGACAGTTTTCACAACACTGCAGCTACCAGGCAACGGTCCTGCCCATTGCACTCTTTGGAAAGCCATGATTTACTGAATTAAGTATTTATACTACCTCAACAGTGTTATCTGTGGTGAGGAGAAACAAATGTGTACAGAGAATTAAGTGACAAATGCAGAATTACCAATAATGAAAATAGTGCACAATATCTTAGTGAAGGAACTACAGCACAATATGTGATTCTAGGTCAGTAGGTACACAGTTGAGGAGGGAAGGGGCAATCACTCATTTTTGTCCAATTTGTTGCAATAAGAAAAGTTGCCAATAATCTCCTAGGGTGTACATAGCAGTACAAGAGACAGGCCAACTGACTGACCATTTATTTATTATTAAATATCATTAAGTATTGCATGGAAGGTGAACTTTGTGATTCATGTTGTGATAATGGCTGATGGATGTATATTGACCAGACCACACACTAAAAGTTGATGGGACGACGACATTTCGGTCCGTCCTGGACCATTCTCAAGTCGATTGTGAAGAGGAGGTAGAGACAGGCAATAAATAGGCAAGAGAGAGCTGAGGAGGAAAGTAAGGTGTAGGGGATAGTAGTAATAATGAGAACTGCAGAGGGCCTATTGGCCCATACGAGGCAGCTCCTATTATAACCACTGAATGAGAAGGAGATAGTAATAGGAATAAGAAGAGGATAGCAAGGGAGCGTAGAAGACAATGAACAGAAAATGGGGAGAAGAGAGAAGGAAAAGGAAAGAGAAAGAAAGATAAATGGAAGGGGTAAGCTTATGTTAAGTCACGTTTGTTAGAAAGATTAGAGCATTTGAGTATATACTGTGAAAGGGAAGAGTCCACAGCAACAAAGCCAGGACTCAAGTTCATGTTGGGTACATTGTGTATCAGAGCCGATTCTACAAGACGGCGTCTGTGTAGAGTAGAGGCAGGAAAGATTATTTTGGAGGAAGACCACTCAATGGGATGATTAGAATCCCTCACATGGCAGAAGAGAGCATTGTTAGTGTCTGCAGACTTAACACTTCTCTTGTGTTCTTTAAGTCTGTCATTCAGTGTACGGCCAGTTTCGCCAAAGTATTGGAGAGGACAAGATGAACAGGAAATAGAGTAGACACCAGCAGCATTAGAAGCAGGAGGAGCAGTGTGAACTAGATTGCTACGAAGTGTGTTAGTTTGTCGAAAGGCGAGTTTAATGTCAAGAGGACGAAAAGGTATTGGTAAAAGTTTTGAGTTCAAATATGAAGGGAAGGCATAGTACAGTGCTACTAGTGTTGGAAGCAGGTTTAGGATGAAAGAAATTTCGTTTAGCTTGAGAGTAGACAGTTGATTTGCATTTCATCAACTGTGCCTACTCTCAAGCTAAACGAAATTTCGTTCATCCTAAACCTGCTTCCAACACTAGTAGCACTGTACTATGCCTTCCCTTCATATTTGAACTCAAAACTTTTACCAATACCTTTTCGTCCTCTTGACATTAAACTCGCCTTTCGACAAACTAACACACTTCGTAGCAATCTAGTTCACACTGCTCCTCCTGCTTCTAATGCTGCTGGTGTCTACTCTATTTCCTGTTCATCTTGTCCTCTCCAATACTTTGGCGAAACTGGCCGTACACTGAATGACAGACTTAAAGAACACAAGAGAAGTGTTAAGTCTGCAGACACTAACAATGCTCTCTTCTGCCATGTGAGGGATTCTAATCATCCCATTGAGTGGTCTTCCTCCAAAATAATCTTTCCTGCCTCTACTCTACACAGACGCCGTCTTGTAGAATCGGCTCTGATACACAATGTACCCAACATGAACTTGAGTCCTGGCTTTGTTGCTGTGGACTCTTCCCTTTCACAGTATATACTCAAATGCTCTAATCTTTCTAACAAACGTGACTTAACATAAGCTTACCCCTTCCATTTATCTTTCTTTCTCTTTCCTTTTCCTTCTCTCTTCTCCCCATTTTCTGTTCATTGTCTTCTCCTACGCTCCCTTGCTATCCTCTTCTTATTCCTATTACTATCTCCTTCTCGTTCAGTGGTTATAATAGGAGCTGCCTCGTATGGGCCAATAGGCCCTCTGCAGTTCTCATTATTACTACTATCCCCTACACCTTACTTTCCTCCTCAGCTCTCTTGCCTATTTATTGCCTGTCTCTACCTCCTCTTCACAATCGACTTGAGAATGGTCCAGGATGGACTGAAACGTCGTTGTCCCTTCAACTTCTAGTGTGTGGTCTGGTCAACATACTTCAGCCACGTTATTATGACTCATCGCCTGCAGATGGATGTATATATTGTAATGTAACTATGAATTTATAAGAAACAGAATTTGCCGTGTTAGTACTGTACCTAAAATAACAGGCTGCGAGTACCACAAGACAGAACTACAGTATGACTAACTACCCAACTTTAATAAAGATATCAGATTTGCATCGACCTAATATTTCCATACTTGGCTTATTGATGTTGAAATGGTACTGTATTGTTAATTTGTAAAAGGATGTACATATGAGGAGTTAACAAAGACTTTTTAAAATTAATATGAAAGACAAATAGTTGAGAAATTGGTTTTTGACTTGCATAAAAAGAGGAAAAAACTTTATATTTAAAGAACAGATTATTGGGGGGGGGGGGGTAGAAAGCCCCACATTCTTAACACAGTAGTTCCCAAATACCCATCACACAATATACAATAAATACCTATAAATTAATAAGCTATTTCCTTCATATATCATGATACAGTATTTAAAAAAAAAAACTTTACCTGTACATGCAATAATGCACGTACGGGTGCATCGTGAAAGTAGTAATGTGATGGGTAACAGGGAGGCGGCTCACTGATAGAACATCTCTGTTATAAAACAGAGGCATTATCTGTAAATAAAAGTCGATTGGGAGTATTCACTACCAGCCTTTTTTTTATACGTTACAAAACCTCAACATGTCCAGATTAATATGAAGTCAAATCCACTTTTACTATAAACATGCATCCCAGTGGGCGCAGTAATGATTGTTAAATTGGTCACTTCAAAATTGTTATAATGCTATGTTGAATTGTGTAATCATTACATTCAATCAATGTAAAGTAGTTGCTGCCTGATAGCCCTGAATTATCAGAAGGGTTCATAATTCCCACACGACTCTGGGTTGAAGGCACCAACCCAGCAGACGGCATGGAGGCAGAAGGAATAAGCATCACCACATGGCAGAGACAATGTACAACCCTCGAACTTGCACGTGGCGAGAGTGGGTTCAGCAGGGATATCTATTGGACCACCGAACCAACATGAGTGTTTCAGGGTCTATATGGAATGGCACAGCAGGAAGACCAGGCACTGGGATCGCTATGCCAGAACTCCGGAATAGGAAAGAGGTCTCCAAAGAAGGGAAGCCTTTGTATCAAAAGGCGAATGGGACAGTCTTGGACAATGTAATGGGTGTAAGTAGGCCAACACAGCTCACCTGAAGCTGATAAGGCTGACCTCGGTGTGCCTTGGTTAGGTTGTGTGAATGCCAATGCACCCCACCAGCCAAAAATCACTGACCTCATGGAAGCTGGAAAGCCAAAAATAGATGGACTTGCCCAGGGTGAGGACGACCACAAGCAAGGAAGCCCTCTAAGGTAGTGAACCCCCATTCACTACAGGCAAAAGAACCCTGGTAGTGCTAGGGAGCTCAGGGGAAAGGAAACCCTGTGCACATGCAGCTCCTAGCACCCTATCCTTCTGGCTCACACAGCACAAACATGCACTGCAACAGCCAAAGGCAAAAAAAAGCACCACTTGCCTGAAGCAGAACATGGGAGCCAGAAAGATAGAGCATCTAACACTGCCTACCATCAGAAAAGAACAGAGTGGAGCAGCTGGCTGACTCGGTCTGCCTCCCTCCTCTTCCCCAAATTACAGGAGAGGTGTGGGGCAAATGACCTTGCACTAGTTTCATGAATTTTCTATCAAATGTTTAGTGTTGAGAGAGTTCTTTTAGCAGTTTTGAGGCATTGGTCGTTCTAACCAGCAGTGCTCTGTTTTATTCGCTGATTTTCTGTGGGCTTTCCTGGTAATGGTGGACATGATTAAAATTCAGACAATTCAATCATAGTACCACTGCTCTGTTTGTCCCTCTTTAGAAGGGGCCAGGTTTCATGGTCCCCAATAGGCCTAAAAACTGACTGATAGCACCTAGTAGTTTAGCACTATACTGTATCAGCATTGTACCTTCAGGGAGCCACACAGGGCTCCCTCTAGAAATTATGCGTAAATACTTTTATATACTTCACATATTGCAATATACTATACAACTATATATTTCACTATAAAAAGAACTAAATATGAGTTTTGTACATGGATCTATCTGCATATTAATGCAATGGTGAGACTGATGTGAACTCTAACCTTTTAGTAGCTCCCTGGGAATCAATATTAGCTTGAGTGGTAGTCTCATAGGTAAATGATTTTGCTGCACATGGGTATGGATATACCCTTCAGAAGACAGCAAGACCATGGCTTGTTGAGGTTCCCCCCTAGCCAAGGGAAAGACACTTGCCCATAGCCATAAGATCACCCAATTACAGGCCAGACTCAAAGGGTACGTATCCTGACTGAGCGAAGGCATGGTGGTGGTGTGAATAATCAAAGATGTCCATACCCTGTTCACTCCAACTGTGAATTTAATAAATAGAAAAATATTATTTTGGAAGTGTATACACTCGCTAAGTTGTTAAACTGTGGGAATGGTCTCGGCTGGGCTCGATGCAAATTGATAATGCCACCTGTTCCTTTATATTTTAAATAAATTGTGTTCCAGCATTAGTTTGTCAGCCATCATTTGTTTAAAACATATTTATAGGTTGAATAAGTAAAGCTTACAGCTTTTTATAACCTATTATATCAAATTGTGCATATGAAGCATGGAAATTTAATCCAAATGTGAAATTCATACATTGGTGATTGTTTAAATAATTTATGAGTCGAGATGTTTTATTTCTGAATGCAGTACTGTAAACCTAAATTTTATAGGTACGTAAAATATTTTTCTAAAATTAATGTGAAGCTTTGTAATTGCATAAATTGTATTTGCATACAGACAAAATATTTTTCCTTGAAGTCACTAATTATCAAAAGAAGGCACCAGGCCAGGAAGACTATGTAGCACCATCAGTGTTACTGGATATTCAAAAGATGCTAAATATCACTTAGGATGCCAATATGAGAACAAAAGTACATATACTGTACATATGTTGGCTGATATGAAAGGTATCGGATTCACCCAAGATTTTATCAAGAGACAAATGACCTTGAGGGACATTTGGAAAAGAGAGACATACAAGCATACTGAAAATCGGGACATTCTACAAGGAGATGCATGAATAAAAAGAACAATGCAGGTCAGACAAGGAGGAGTAGGGCAGCTTTCCATCACGTGCCCAAGGATATGGATATGATGCATGGTTAGGTTATGCATGTATGGCCAATGCATAAACTAACCAGAGCCATTTCCCACTGCTGATTACAGTAGTAGAAGGAAGGCCAAGGGAAAGGGCTACCTATAAGAGTGTGCAGTTTGTTACAGGTAACACCAGACCTGCCAATGGTCTCAGAATGAACAATGAATGACAGGGGTAGAAATGTGAATAAGGAATACCTTTTCAGGGAAATAGGACAAGTGTAGATAGGCTTCTACACTTGCCCAGGTGCAGCTCTCCTGCGTGGACAAGCAGTGGATAACCTTTGCTTGTTGACTTTTCTTTGGAGAGTTGTTTCTCTGTTCAGTCTTGGGGGTTTTTAGCCATTAACTACCAAGTGAGGTTTGTTTTGTGATGCCTACCTTTCTGGGTGCCAAACCCCCATCAATGGCAGATATGGGATAACCCATATCTGCCATTGATGGGTGCATCAAAGGGGTTTTCATTGATGGGTTGATCAAAGGGGTTTTCTCGGGCCATTGCTCCCTGCACCTCTCTGGTTCTGGCTCTTGGTCCCCGGTAGGCAGAACTCCACTGACTGAAACCCCAAACTAATATAGTGTATATCTGTCCGACAGCTCCAGGGAGCCTATGGGGCTCCCCACAGTAGTGTTCAAGTAAAAGGATACCCAGGAACTGGGACACTACGCTGGTACTCTCAAAGTGCTATGTAAATTGACCAAGCCTAGCTAAGACGGCTGGGAAAACCTACCTCAGAAAGCTGAAGTGCAGCTAGCGAGAAACCCAGTGTAATACCACCAAATCAAGACTCTCCAACCGGGTGGAAGCTAAAAACTTGACAACCTAAGGCAAAGGCCACCACAAGCGAGGAGGAGATCTAGATGAGCTTCCCCCAAACACTCCAAGGAAAAATACCCTGACAGCACAAGGAAAGCAACAACACTGGCAGCTCCAAGTGCACAAAACCTTTGGCCCACGCACACAAATGTGCATGGGCCAAACGAAAACCCAAGAAAAACATTGGGGCCAGAGAGAGTGGCAGACCTGGCAAACATCAGAGGAGAACCAACAGAGTGGCCTGTGAGCCGTGACCTGCCACCCTTCTCCCCCAAAATGAGGGAGAACAAGTAGGCGCTAGTTTCACAACATTTTCAATCATTTGTTTACATACTTTGTAGAGTTCTATGACCATTTTTGAGTCGGCAGGTCTTGGATGCTGTGGTTTGTTTTGACTCGATTTTCTGGATGCCTTCCTCGGTGTGGCACAAGTGAATAACTTTCTATATAAATGCCACAGTTCCCTGTGCCTCTGAGAGGACCAGGCTCTGGCTCTGGGTCCCTGGTAGGCTAGAAAACTCCACGACTGATGGCACCCACATTGGGGATGGTAGGCTTCAGGGAGCCACAAGGGGCTTCCCTAAGGAAGGGGATCTTTATTAACTACTTTTCCTTAGTAAACTGGACGGATATGGGATAATAAGATCCTTTAAGTACCCATCTATATACAGTACTATACTGTACTTGAAATCATCAAATATAGCAAAAATATCTGAACCAAGTTCTGGGACCTTCTCCATTAATTGCTACTGTGGGTACAGTACTAATTGTTTCAAAAAACTTAATATATATAAATTCATAAGAATAGGAGAAAGGGAAGAGCCTATAGCCACCTCTACCTTTTGTTTGAAAACACCATCAAAACTAAAATAAGTGTCTGCTTCACAAAAATAAATTCCAAGAATAACTGCTGGGGATCAGAGTAATAAAATTACCTACTAATTCTTGTGCTCTTAGAAAATCTAATATTTTATGTAACGGTACATTAGTGAAAAGCACTGTAACATCAAAACTAACCATTTTAATTTTATCAGTGTGGTATTTGGGCCACAAACTGTCATGAGTGTTGGGTGTTTGCTGATCATGGAACTTGTGCAGATAGGTTCTATGACTAACCAACATTTATAGACAATAACTGGTGCAGTGGTCAAAGTACCAGTGCTGCTGATGGGGAGATCCCTGGTGGCCTGGGTTCGAATCCTCTGAGGGAGATCGTAGAGTTTAAAATGTGTGCTTGGGAGAAGTGTATGGAATGACCTAAGGATGTTTTGGAACTAAAAATGTGGCTGGTACATTCTACATTTTGTGGAGCAACAGTCATGGAATGCAGATCAAGCTTTGCCGGTTGCATCATGAGAGCCCTGTCAAGGTGACTCTAAAGCCTCTCAAATACACACACAGTTATCCATATGCACATTACAATAATGGCCATACTATCGGCCAGAAAACAGGCCTCTTAAGGCACTACTCAACTACTGTACCTTCCAGTCTTTAGCATGAAGAGGGGCTCCTCAAGCCATGCTGAGCTGCCCGGCACCCTTCCCGTAACAAGGCGGTGCCCATGGGGGTCTATTCTGATTGAAGTAAATGAAACTGTTTTACATCTACTATTTTATTTCAAAATTCTGATTACACATGATCAGAAAATTATAAATAAATGAACAAATTATACAATATGATTATGCTCATACATTAACAATTTGAATTTCAATATACAGTCATTCCTCTTGATACACTAATATACACAAGACATTTAATAATTATACAAGACGACTAATGCTTATTCACAAAAATTCAAACAATGATGATACCCTCAACATTGTTAAAGAGTTCATGCCAAGCCAACCAATTTTAGCACACATTCTCTGTATCTTGTGATTGTCGGCTCATCTTCACCTGTTGGTAAAAAAAAAATGTTTCAAGTTATTTATCGTGGTATGTGTGTACTCACTCAATTGTGCTTGTGGGGTTCAAGCTTTGGCTCTTTAGTCCCACCTCTCAACTGTTAATCAACTAGTAATTACCCAAGTGTTGTAAGACAAGAGCTATGCTCGTGGTGTCCAGTCTTCCCACTGCTCTTGTCATATGACAGCCTATTCTCCTGTATTGGTAATACTTGTAGTAACAATGAGGACCACAGTATATATACCGATGTACAACGAAATTAAAAAGTAGAAATCGCCACTATTGATTTTATCACTTTGCACTGCATGTACACAGTCCTCAACTGTTTTGTTATGCAGTTAGAACAGTTGTGTTTACTATCATCAGACAGAGAATGATATGAGCATTTGAGTGATGCTATGATAGCCATCATTTGTCAAGTGTGATGGATGCTATAAGAAGCAGAACTACAGCCATTTGAATACACAATATTCAACATTGGTACAGAGCACGAGGTAGTTTGGTGGTAGTGAAGATAGGCTGGTGGTATGATGAGGTCACTTATCACTCTCGGCAGCATCCCCAGCATCCACGCTGGGGATGCTGCCCTCATTCTGTATTGTGAATCCGTGTCAGAGACAAAACCTAATTCAGCTTACTCAAACGTCTGTACTCAAAGTTAAAAGTCTTCTATCACTAATTGTGAGTATCCAGCTTGGCTAAGCAGAATGCCAAAATCATTAGTGACTGAATAGAAGAACTTTCTTGAAGTGAATAGTGGACATAGCCTACAGATCCCACATGATCAAAGTCTTGCAGAAGTCACAGACTGCTTAAATCATCAGCTATCAGTGGAATCATCATTTGTACAGCCAATCACTTGTGTGCTAGCTTAACTCTATGTATTATTGTGCTGCAAGTGTCAAAGATAGTTTATCGTTACTCGAGAGTGAAATAGAAGAGAAAAGTACTCTATAGTGAATGTGTAGTGTTTGTCACGGACTGTGTACAATGCCGCAATGCATGAATATTCAGCCCACCATTGTGATTGCACCACTGTTTCATTATCGCTTTGCATATCATTAGCCTGCACATTATATGCCATGTGCAGCCACTGAGAAGTGAAAGCCATTGCCTGGGACTGGGATTCGTAGAAATTGATTGGCTGGTTAAGTAAGGCTCCCTTGTGTCTGGAATGGACAAGTCTTGTAGCTAAGCTAATGTTTGGCAGTGACAAGCTGTTAGTCCAGTGTGGTGGCTCCCAGTCAGCGTGTTAAGTGTGTAATTATTGCATTCTACATTTAGGGATATTTGTGACTTCTGTGTTATGTGTCACATTATCTCAGTGATTTTAATTATTTCACATTTGAATGGAATCTATGTGACTTGACTGGTACTAAGTATCGATTTACTGTCTCAGGGTAGACTAGAGTATTTTGACATACTTGGTACATAGTTAGTGGACCAGTTACACAAGAGTGATTAAATATTGTATTGTCATGTCAGTGTGCTATCTTTTACAGGGAACTGTGATATACACAGTACATCATTGCTGTGTGCTTTGATTTTGCAATTCTGTGATAAAGTACAACTGCACATGGCTTGCATTTTATAACTATAACTTGCAAATTATAGCATGATATAACTTGCATGGCTAGTTCTTGACACCATTTCAAAAGTAGCACTGCTTCACTGCCTTAATAAATGTGGTGTATGACTTCGTAACATTCTATTCCCTTTAGCGACTGTCATTTGGGCAGGACGACGACATGTAACACAAGATTACGATAAAATAGAAGAGACCATTACTGTGTGTTGTTATCTTGACCACTGGCATATCAGTATCTTGTTGCCAACTCTTTGGGTAACTCAATGTGCGGTTATCGCAAGTGAAAGGTGCAATTTCAGGTCCCCAGGAGAACCAAAGTCATTTCAAATAATATGTTATATTTTGTGTTAACACTAATAAGATTTAAAACATTATACAGTACATTTTAACATAGCTTGTAAAGAGGAAGGCTGAATTTCAGAACAAAAACAGAAGACAAGAGAGTTTCACGAGCCTTTTAAAATGGGTATAAACTAAAATGTACTAGTATAATGAGGCCAACAAAGTGTTCATTATGATTAAAACAGGCTATGTAAAGCTCCTCAACCCTTCCCAGAATAAAACTAAGATGATTTTAAAGCAGGATAAACAAATTAAAACTAAAATATATTATCTAAATTTATGCCTGGTGATATACTGGTACTGTACTCACCCTCGTTGTGTAAGTCTGTAACTGCTGTCTCGTATTCTTTGATAACCTCCTCGGGTGTCGAGTCCTCCTTGGCACCGACTATTGCTTGAAGAGCTGCGTGTGAAGGACTCACATTCCATATGTATCGTTCACGATCAGCTATCTCCTTCTCATGTTCCCACAGCTCTGTTTTCTGAAGAAAAAATCTGAATAATAATTATGCATAAACAAATAAAAATGGTTTTTAATTTCTTAAAGACTAATAATTAGAGATATTTATTCTTATATGACAATGATACAGGTAACAATTTAAAGTCTTAAAGAAAAGCAAATTTAAAATTTTGTCCCCCTCTATAGTTTACGCACATCTAAAGCTACCAAAACATTTTGCCACCTCATCACACAAGGCAATACACTAGTGCTATAAAATGAACATCAAACTAAACAGGGTTAGAATACATTGAGAAGTGAATACTGTACAATATAGTTTTCTCATTTAGTCATAATCACTTTGTCCAAAGTCTTGATTTGATCAGATTTTGCAGGAGGTACATAGATCCTCAGAATCCCAAGGTAAGTTTGACATTTTAAAATGTAATAGCATTTTATGGTCAGTATTATCCCATTTTCTACTTTGATGGTATGGGGACCATTAACCAAGAGAAAAATGTTAAGCACTGGAGAAAACTAAAAAAAAAAGTTTCAGATATAAAAGGCACAGCTGTAGTCCATTAGCCATATACACACTACACAGACTGATATAATTAAGTACCACAAAATTCCAGCATCTCATCCACAGTAGCTCTAGGGTTCTATGCTATAGCAGAATATAATAGTCAAGTGTGTACTGTGTAGCGCTTTGCATAGGCTTTCTCGGGGGATGACATTTTGCACAATTCCCAGGACAGCATTGAGAACTGCAATAGGTGGCCACTGGTCTTATCCCTGGCTACTCACACCCTCCCTTTACTGTAGACGACAGAGTTTGGTATTCATGTGTCACTCAATAGCTTATTGTGCCTAGTTCTCCCACCATGCCCAGTATACTGCTCCTGTCACCACACCAAGTTTCTTTACCTTATGCCTCTCTTATAACCACTTACATATTGCAATTTATTTCCTGTCCTATTTTTGTACCATGTGCAAAATTTGAATGCTGCTTTTCAATTCTGTCTAAATAAATAATTTATACAGTGTATATGGTAAAGAAGAGAGGGACCATTGCCTGCAATCGTTTACCACTATGACCCAATTCCATTTATGCTTACCCTCTGTTTTCTTTCAAATAACCATGCCCTAATCCATTTTAGGATAACACCCCAATATGTACCTCTACCTTTCTAATATGTCGTCCATGAACCAGTATCCAAAGCATTACAAAAGTCCAGATATATAATGTTACAATCTTTTCCACTATCATAGCTGCTTGAAATACAGTCAGACACAAGTGATCTATCTCCCCATTTTAAAAATTGGTACCAGTTCATAGTCCTCCACAATTTAAGGACTCTGATTAAATGATTTGTAAATATACAAGATAAAAGCACCTTAAGCTCCTCTTTACATTCTTTAGGGAACATGGCAATTACTTCATTGTCTTCGAACATATGTCCAAAATCAATACTTACCATCGATTCATTGTATAAAACAGTTAACAAGTAGCAGCAATAGTCATAATTCTGTTGAGAGAGGGGACAACGATCGGCTACAATGGTGAGACAGTCAGTTTTAGCATCATATCGATCTTTCACCAACCGAAGTAACTTGTCACGTCCATGCTCATCAAGATCAAGGCTCCTAAGTGATACCTGAAACATTCAAGGGTTGAGAAATTTAGTTCAGTTCTAAACTGAACTTAAGACCATATCCATACAAAAGTCACGTGTGTGATCCTGGATAGTAAGCTAACCCCCAAAGGATCACTTTCAGGTACACTGGCCAATTTCAGAATTAGCCTTTAAAGACATGAAATGAGAAATTATTAAAATGTTATTGATAACATTCTGAGACACCTGTGGCTGGCATGCAAGTGGTTGACTGTAAATGAATCTTATAACATTTGTAATTATCCAATATACAGTATATATTTCTGGCTTATAAATTACATCTATTGGTAGCATTTACTGTATAAACCAAACTCATCATTAACATCACTAGTCATACAAACTTGGAAGCTACAATGAAATGCTTCTTTCTGGGCAGTGCTGAGTAACTGCCCTCAGTTTATTACGCTGCCACTATAGAACCACATTCAACACACCTGGCTCATATGACAATCTCTGCCCACATGCCGCAAGTACCATTCCAATGATTCTGTCTTGCCTATTCAAAGGGGCAGGGAGCATGCGAATATCATCCATCAACACTATTGTTTCAAGCTACCCACAACAATGAAGTCATTACAAAACATATCACCCACAAGAAATGCTTGGGAATCTATAACATACCAAAACAAACTAAAAAATCACAAACCGCTACTGAAAATCTCCTAACCTGCCATCCTCGCCCCTCGCCACCAGGTGGCACTCCGCCACAATAAGGGTCCCGGCAAGGTGAAACCTTCACTCACAAGTTCAAATTTAAACAGTTCATCATCGTGAAGGAGAGAAGCTACTGTGGACGGCCTAGACAGATGTCTTTCATTAGACATTGATCAACATTCATGATCAGTAGCACTCTAATCACTGCAAATCTAAATACAACTATTTTCATCACATTTAGTAGCTTATAGACATAAAAGCAGTTGTTTCCACCATGACCACTGACAAAACTAGTACCACCATGTGCCATGAACACTCACATATGGGCATCACCACCAGGAACAGCAGGCCAGGTAGAAAAAGAGCAGTCATCATACTCAAACTGAGAAAGGTGGTATAATATGCCCCCAACTTCTACATATGTGCCATCAAATGTAGAAGCAAATAGTCATAAACGGTCATAAGTTTGAACCCTCACACCATGCTGGGTGTGCCGCCTCTACCAGGACTGGGTGGCCGCCTCTACCAGGACTAAAGAGGGATCCAACACCAAGTCAAGCCAAGCCAAGAAGCAGAACCCATCCTCAGACCAGTGATGAAAGGAGAGGCTGCTGCTCTGGAGCACTGAGCTCCACCCAACTCAAAGAGAGGAAAGGAAAATTATCCAGCTGTGGCCAAGTCTTAGGCCTTAAGACAAACCCCTTCCCTAACATGAGCACACCCACAAAACGTCTGGCCAGTGCATGAGAAGATCCAAGCCTTTTAGCACTTGCAGTCAGAGGAAAGGCAAAGAAGGCCATGCACTTGAAAGATGAAGGAACGTGGAAGAACAAACTTGAGAAATACATGGTCTCAAAAGATGATTTCACCAGTAGAGAGATATCCTCCTCCAAAATGAGGTATGAGCTTGCATATCCTTCACACAAGCAAGGACCCAAGAGCTCTGAACCTAAAGTTATGAATCTCATCACATAATTTAGCAGCAGCCACAAAAGCAGAATGCTTGAACAAAAGCTACAAAAAAGCCAGAGATCCACACATAGCAGACCAAATACACCCGAGGGTCAAGTCAACCTTTACCTCAGCAGGGGCAATGCAGAAGGCAAAAAGGATGTGGATGGCCTTTAGAGTCAAACTCCTTAGTCATCCCATTTACAACAAGCAGATATTTGCCAATCTCCTAACTGTAGCAAACAAATACAGGAAGTAAAAAGTGGTAAGAGCTAAAGAACATGTCCTCTAGGTCATCAAAATATACTATTCCCCTTGCCAGGTCAGGGTTGGGTCCATGAGGAGGGTTTTCATGGTTTCATGACATCTGTAGGGCTGAGAAATGTTTGTGCTTATGAACACAGGTTTCCAAGATACATCTAGCAGGATTTGACTCTTTACAATGACCTGCAGACACCCTAAAAATAGTCCTGCAGAGCTGTCCCTGTGGCATCAGACTAATTACAGCCCGACTGTCCAGTGATTCTATGACAATGCAGCTGGATCACATGCATTCCCAGAGCAGTAGAATGCAATTTAAGAAATCTGTTAAATAGGATTAGAATTATTTTACTTTGTGCCTATAAAAATCTTTTACTTTACAATGACTAACTTACCTTAATTGTGACTATTCTGGCTTTTTGGTCCCTAATAGTTGGCGAAGAATGAAGGTATGAACTTTTTGAAACCGTTACAGGAAAATGCTTCTCTTGTTTAGTTGCTGTATCAAGTCCAGATGGCCAAGGTGTGCAAAATTCTGCAGAAAAAAAATCAGCATTGAATGTAATGAAATGCCATTATCTGGGCGAACTCAGTCAGCTCCCTGAAGCTATCCAAACTGATATGTGCTATATTAGTTTGGGGTCATAAGTCACAGGAGTCCTTTTGCCTACCGTGGACTACGAGCCAGAACCTGGCCCCTCTCAAAGAGGTGCAGGGAGCAATGGCTTATAAGCACTTTACATTTAAAGTATGTCATAATTGCCATTGACTGGGGAAGGACCCAGAAAGGTAGGCGAATCAAAACATACCACTGTCTGGTTAACCTGTGCAATCTATATGCTAAAAGATCAAAATAACTCCCCCTAGGAAGAAACCCAACAAGCAACACTTAATGCACCTGTCATTCCTGCTCATTAGTGCTAGCGACACCCCCCCCCCGGAGGGAAGGAGAGCTAGCAGCTCACGACCTCTGTTCTTGAACTGATGTGTTGGCAGTCGAACGTCATCCCTGGCCTCGATTACCTGTTTTGGATTTTTGCCCTGTGTGGCTGTGTGTGGGGTGTGGTAGCCAGGTGTCTTAAGAGTATAAGAGCAGCATGTGTCTATGGTTATCTTCCCTAGGTGCTCCGTAAGTACTATTTTTCAGAGAAGATAAGCTTTTCAGGCTTATCTTCTCTGGGGCGTTCGGGAATCACTCCTCTTTTAGAACTTCCGTCACTTGTTGTCTTGTCCTTTGGGGTACGTCAGGGGTCTTGGGCTTTCTGTCTTGCCCCTGGTAGTGTGTGTTATTGGCTGGGCAGGGTGCACTGCGGCTGGCGCAGCTTGCACACGCGGGGGGCCGATGATTCTCTCTGGCTGCCAGTGTGTCTTCAGGGGTTATGTTTTTATTTTGAAAGTTTAGTTTTGATTGGCCTACCATTATGAGTCCTTCCCCCATCGATGGCAATTTATGACATACAGTACTTTAAATGTAAAGTGCTCATAGGCCATTGCTCCCTGCGCCTCTATTATTCTATCATTGCTCCCTGCGCCTGCGAATATTTCATATGTCTAAATGCGTTATTACAAAACTTCAAGTCATTCATATTTTATTTAATCCTTCTTATTTAATTACCTGGAGAAAATTCATTCATTCATAAAAAGCAAATAATTTACATGTAGAACCAGAACATACTTTTCAATGCCTCACACTGTCGTTTAATTACTGGAGGAGTCAAGTGAAGAAAATTTGGGATTTTCATAAGTTCTGCATTTCCCCACTTATCTGGTGTGGGCTTCAAAGAAGCTGGGTAACCTTGGCGTACGGGAAGAGGCACGGTTGCAGGATGAAAGGTTCGTGCAGCAGGCCAGACATTTCCCCAATCTTGATCGACTTTTTGGCTTTTATATCTGAAAACATATTTGAAAATTTACTGGAAAGTAGATATTATATTTATGGAAACGAGATTTTATCCCAGCTGCTGTGACAGACGAACATGTGTCATGAGCGCTCCTGGAGGTTGTGAACTTGTGCTAACAGTTATAGAACCAGTACTCTTGCTTATCAAGGAAATGGAGCAAACTTCAATGTCTATGGAGTCTGAGAGTGAGGATGACAGATGGACCTCTGTCATGAATTTTGAATTTTGTTTTGCAATTTGTTTTGCAAATTTATAAATGATGCATGAATTTTTTGGCAATACCGTAGCCGAATCTTAACTATCAGTAGCTCCTACTTGCATGCATTTTCTTTGTTAATTCCACTTTCTACTAATAAATAGCTTCTTAGATTACATCCATGATATGAAATAAATAACACATTCAAGTCTGACCTACATTACACAGACCAAACACCTTACAGAATATACATATATATACTGAACTGTACTGTTCAAATATGAAATAAGGTAATATGAATAATGTTTTAGATTTGACCTTGAGGGCTTGAGGATATCATTTGCTGGCCATCTACACAGCAAAACACATACTATACAAACCTCTACACTTAAATGTGTACGTATTAACATTTAACACACCTGGGTGGTAGCAGGTTAGGTGGCTTCATTACCCTGCTAGTTCGTCGGTCTGGCCCCTTTTTTACTAATTCCAAAGTTCGGAACTCTTCATCCTCTAAGACAGAAAAATAAAGTCCATAAAAATAAGTACAGTACATAAATACTAGATATTGTTTAACAGCTAAGGGAATGAGGGAAAGCACTTATTATCTCTGATCCTATTAAATGTCACTAGGTCTATATGGTACAGCACCTATCTCTTGTTGGTTCAAGAAATCAATCTCCCTAATGGCCCAGTATCTGACTAGGCCTGATTAAGCATTTTATAAAATGATCTCTTTCCCCTATTCCTCATACTTCCTTATACATCTCTCTCAGCACTGGTCAGTCCCCTACATTATATACCACACGCGAGGATATAGAAAGCTACAGCACCAGCACAGTATGCATATGAATTCATGTAATGTACAGTACAGTATATGTAATTATTTACTGGTATGATTGTATGCTGATTATGTACCATATTACTTGCCTTAAATATCTATGTATTAAATCATTTCAGCCCACTTACCCCAAAATTGTGGGGTAAAAGGTCCAAGCTTTTGGAAAGCTGTGCCTTGTTCTATATGATGAACTAAAAACTTATATTGCTACCCTATATACCCAAAGGATTGGTCTACATGTTCAATCAATAATATCAATAAATGTCTAACTTAACTTGTGTTTAATTCCCAAGAAACTTTAAAAAAGTAAGCCAGGCCCATTTACCTCCCAATATATAAAACCTAAAATTCAACCAAATACTTTATTACAAATTTTCTTTTCAAAGTGATTTAGATATAAAGTACAGTACACAAAGTATTCTCTTACTTACACTAATAAAAACATTTTGGGTCATAAAATATCAACACATTAAAAGTCAGATATAATGGACATTCTCTTGCTGCAGAACAGTTTTGGAGAAATTCAGTCCACTTAAACAGAGGCGGCATGTGGCACAAAGGTCAATTCACAGACAGGACAGAATGCTTCGCCATGTGTCCCTACACTTGAAGCCTCTGTTCACCTAACTGCAACACACCTAACATTCAAGTAATATTTTCAGGGTTCATTCACAAGGTTTTGTCAAATTATACACAGGTGTTTTACCAAAACTTCTTTTCCAACTGTCAAATCCATGTACTGTACTGTACTGTATGTCATTAGGTAAGGCTGCTTTAGGTTAGGCCACATTAGGCTTGGTTGGGTTAGATTGGGCTAGGTTTGGTTGGGTACAGTTAAGTTCGGTTAACTCATGATAAGTGTTACAAGGCACCTAGCAAAATACAGGCTTTTTTTTTCCTATAACAAACAGAAAACAAAACTGTCTGCCTCTTAAATAGTGATTAACAAAGCATTCAGACTTAGGGGTTTCAATAGTGCAGCTGGCTTCATTCTCAACTCTCAATCGTGAATCGTAGGTTTGAAATCCCCAATAGTACAGAAATGGTTGGGCACACTTCCTTTCACCTAATGCCTCACCTAGCAGAAAATAGTAACCCAGGGTGTTAGGAAACTGCTGTGGGTTTGCATCCAGGAAAAGGCCGGTAGTACGACCTAGGAGGGACCTTGATTTGAGCCTAACTTGAGCAAGACACTAACACAATAAATTATTATTAATGTTGGCAAGTCCCTTTCATTTGGATTCTTATTTCGTTCATTTGGACATACACAGGCTGCCTGACAAAATTAATTATTGTTAATTACATCAAGGACCCCCCCCCCCCAGGTCGAACTACTGGCCTTTCCCAGGATGCAACCCCACAACAGTTGCCTAATTCCCGGGTACCTATTTATTGCTGGGTGAACAGCGGTATGAGGCGATAGGAAACGTACCCAACCCTTTCTGTCCCACCCGGGATATGAGCCCAAGATTTCTGATTGTGAGTAAAGAACAAACCCAACTACAGTATATTGCCAAGACCCTACATTACTGTCTACACCGCTGATCTCACTTAAACCTTTAAAATACTGAAATACTTTGAGGATGTTGATCCAGACAATTTCTTCTTCAGGTCAGATGTAATACAAACAAGGAGCAATGATTTCAAGCTCAACAAGCCACAATGTAGGGCTGAGTACAGAGGTTTTCTCACCCATAGGGTTATAAACACATGGAACCGCCTACCCGCCCAAGCCGTAAATGCCAAAACTGCTGAACATTAAAATCTAGCTAGATAAAATCATCAGGACAAATGTGAGGACCACTAAAAAATGCTTGCTTCAAGTAAATGTAGGTAAAGGATCACCTACCTAAAGGATTTAGGTAATGGTTTACCTTTGGGTTTCCCCAAGAACATTATATTAGTGGCAATGAAATGAGCTACAATGACATGAAATGACAATAACATTATTGTCATTTTGAGGTGTTGAGAATGCTGGGCGAGACCCCAGCTACTGGGGTCCACGTGTATGGGGTCATGGCTCACCTGCTGCCTTGACCCCGCTGTGGGATGACGCGGAGGAGTGTATCCTGGAGGCACCGGCCAGGGCCAGCAGGTGCCTGAGGCCCCCAGGTGCCACCAGGCCGTGCTTGAGGCCCATCATCACCTCCAGACACGGGCACCTCCAGCTGCTGCTCCCGGACACTACTGGTCAGGGTTGCCAGGTTCAAATTGCTAAAATTAGCGAGCTGACGGTCTAAAAGTAGCGAATTTGTACTAAGAGTAGCCCAATTTTTTGTTTAGTGACTGATACGGGTTTCAAAGTAATCTATTATGATATATAGAGTACATTAAACGATTTTAATTGTTTTATTAACATTATCTCTGCATATATATATTTAACCAATATGATAATAGGATAACTTACCAATATTTACTGTTTGAAGCTTAATGGGTGTGAAGTCCTTCCACGTCTTTACAGTTGAAGATTACCAAGATCTTGATCTGCATCCACAACCTCGTTCTTGTATATTGCAGACTCATATTTAAGCATTGACATGAGTGGTTCAAATGACGAGCAACAAGTTACATTTTCTTCAAGATATGTTTTGATTCTCACGACTGATGTCAAAAGCTCAAGTCCCATTCCCATTCAAGATTTCTCAGTTTAGTTTTCACAGACGTTACTCTAGAAAATATCCGTTCAACCAGGGCATTACTGATTGGCAAGCTGTATATTTTCAACACAAACTCAGCGAGGTCAATCAGTATGGGATCACCAGCAGTGTTCTTGACAGTTATTGTCTTGGTCTAAAATGACGATTCAGATGTCGGAATTTGTCCCTTACAAATGTTGGACTAGTCAATGGTTAACAGTAGGCGCCACTGACTTTCAATTTCACTAAGCTTAGATTCGTCAGCTAATACTACCGGAAGTTCCGAAAATGGTGGCCATGTAAGCTAAGGCATAGAGGTAACAGATTTTTCACCTTTTTTATAGTTTCAACATTACTTAGAATACGAGAAAGAAGCTATTCGCAAGCTTTCATTAAAAAATTATCGCATCTTTCTTGAACATTTTGAAACTTTTTCTGGATTGTAAAATTGTTTTGTCTGTTAGTGGCTAGATAACTTTCTCCCCTTAATGAAGATCTGTGGAACCAGGTATAGCTTTTGGGATGAAGTATTATTAACAATTAAGGTTGGGAAATCTATTGCCCCTAGGAAGGATTACCTTGCCTTGCAGTTACTTTTTCTTTCAAAGCTTCCTAGGATCAACGTCCCCAGGGGCCGGTCTCTGACCAGGGCTCTCCTGCGGTAAGTGGTCTAGTTAATCAGGCTGTTGGACTCGGCTGTGATTTGTACAGATTATATTATTAAAGCATAAATAATCATCATTGAGTTTCTTAATATTAATAGCCCAAATTAGCCCAACTTGCGTTTAAACTAGCCCAAAAACTCGCAAGTAGTGAAATAAAAAATTTGGGAGCGTGGGGCTCTCAAAAGTAGCCCATTTCGCTACTTGTAGCCCAATCTGGCACCCCTGTTCAGACTCTCTGCACCTATTTTCATTTTCAAATTACTACTTTTTACACCGAAAATATGCCAATTACTGAAAACGGCGTTGGGTCATATTTTGCCCAAACCCCCCTGCAGTTTTCAAAATATCTGAAATGTCCGAAATTTGACTCCTGAGCGTGATTTTTGAGCCAAATTCTGACTCTCTGCACCTATTTTCATTTTCAAATTACTAATTTTTATACTGAAAATATGCCAATTACTGAAAACGGCGATGGGTCATATTTTGCCCAAACCCCCCCTGCAGTTTTCAAAATATCTGAAATGTCCGAAATTTGATTCCTGAGCGTGATTTTTGAGCCGAATTCTGACTCTCTTCACCTATTTTCATTTTCAAATTACGACTTTTTATACCGAAAATATGCCAATTACTGAAAACGGCGATGGATCATATTTTGCCCAAACCCCCATGCAGTTTTCAAAATATCTGAAATGTCCGAAATTTGACTCCAGAGCGTGATTTTTGAGCCAAACTCTGACTCTCTGCACCTATTTTCATTTTCAAATTACGACATTTTATACCGAAAATATGCCAATTACTGAAAACGGCGATGGGTCATATTTTGCCCAAACCCCCCTGCAGTTTTCAAAGTATCTGAAGTGTCGGAAATTTGACTCCTGAGTGTGATTTTTGAGCCGAATTCTGACTCTCTGCACCTATTTTCATTTTCATATTACGACTTTTTACACCAAAAAAATTGTGCCCCTTGAGGGACTTGAAGTAGAGGGGAGTAGAAATAGCCTAAGCTACTCTATCCCTTTGAGATGTATTTTTTTATTGTCTCAATAAACATACTTGAACTTGAAGTGGACTTTAATGTTTTTTTCGGCAGCTTTATTTCCTTAGTTTTCGAGCTGTTTTCTTTACCGTGTATGTTGTAATAAACTATTCCTATATTTACAGTTGTTTCTCCCTGTGAAGATTATTAAACAATGGTGATTATAAGGGCGCGGAAGTTCAGCCTGGCCAGGGCCGCCAGCAGCCCTTGGGCCCGCCCCGGCAGCACCCAGTCTTTAATTTGGCACCTTTGTGGGACTTTGGTATAAGCCTAACATGTATATATACACTGGCTGTCTGTCCCCTCTACACAATGCTTTATTATTACCTATTATTTAATAATTTAATTTAAATATTAAATAAAATAATTTATTTAATTATTATAGTACGTACTTAATAATTTAATAATAAGTAGTAAGTACATAAAAATAATTAAAAAGTACAGTTTAGTCATAGGAGATTCCTAGATTGGAATTCACTACCCAATTTCAATATCAAGTATTTTTAGTGTGAAATGCTGTCATTATATGCATAAATTGTTGTTTTAATAATATTACGCTTAACCACTTGGGCTGGACGGTAGAGCGACGGTCTCCTTTCCTACAGGTCCGCGTTCAATCCCCGACTACCCAAGAGGTTGGGCACCATTCCTTTCCCCCGTTCCATCCCAAATCCGTATCCTGATCCCTTCCGAATGCTACATGGTCGTATTGGCTTGGCGCTTTCACTTGATAGTTCCCCCACCCCCCTGAATAATATTACGAGAGCAGTATTTACGGGCTATTCATGCCCGTGCCACCTCTTGGGTGGCTTAATCTTCATCAATCGAGAGCAGTACGTCCTAACCATACGTTATATGATGATATCCTGAACAGTTGATATATAAAAGTAATTGCGGAACTCCAGTTATCTAATACTTATCATAAATGGTATAAAACCTTATCATAAGCCAAGGGATTTGTAGATCAGTGTTTAAAGGGAATTCGGAAGTAATAATAATACAGCTGATGCCATCTGTCGGCAGAAGAGAACACTATCAACTAGCTGGTCAATAGTGGCCATAAGATACAGCTTACGCCATCTGTTGACATCAAATTACACTTATAACAAATTACCCTGCAAAATACCACTAACGCCATCTCTTTTTTTTCCAACGCACTATAAATAGCCAAACAGCAACCCATAAGGTGGGTTGTTGTGCTCGGGTAGGAGGTTCCAAGCTCCGCCCACAAATGGTATGGGGGTGCATAATAAATGGCATATCATTGGTAGAAACTCTTTGTTGACATTCATACAACAGCCAATCACAGGAAGGGATCAGCTAAAGGCTCCATCCATTTAATAAATCATCTTTATTCAGTACACCATCCTTGCTTATGACATTCTGCTTCAACTTTAATCTACCTAAAAAGTGAAATGTTAAGTATTTAAAAGTATTAATATAGTGATAATTAAATACTGCAGGATGTAACGAGTGTTACAGAAACATGGGCTGGCAACCTAACTTGTGACGTCATCAGTGGGAGTTGCCTCACACAAATAATATCGGCGATACAATGCCTCCGCCCTCTTATTGCTCTACATTATTCAGTTAGATGGAAATTTCTGTCTTGTATAAAACAGAAATTGTTGTTCTTTTGTACAACAACAACAAGGTTATTGAGCAAAAGGACGTATTTCTTATTTTGCATTTTATTCATATAAGCGTTGGCATTCCCCGCAACAGCCAATCACAGGAAGGGATCAGCTATAGGTGCCATCCACTTAGTAAATCATCTTAGATCAGCCCACCAGTCCTGCTTTTGGAATTCTGCTTTAACTTTAATTTACCCAAAAAAGTGAAGTGTTAATTATTTAAAGTGTTAATAAAGTGATAATTAAATATTGCAGGATATAACAGATTTTATATAAAAATGGGCTGGCTACCTAACTTGAGACGTTATTATTGGGGGTTGCCTTGACACAAATAATGATACACTGCTCTGCCCTCTTATTCGAGTAAATTATTCAGTTAGATGGAGATTTCTGTCAGGTGTAAAACAGAAATTGTTGTTCTTTTTCACAACAACCTTGTTGTTGTGCACAAGGACCTATTTCTTAGTTTAAATTTTATTCATAAAAGAGTGTTGGTATTCCCCGCAACAGCCAATCACAGGAAGGTATTTCAGGAAGCTCGGCCTCCTTATGGACTCAACACATCGCTCTAGCTCATGGCTCGCTGTTTCATCTCTTGTATATACAAACTATGACTTTTTTCGATTACTGTTATAATTAATGAGATATAAAAGTTTTTACACAAAATGGCTAAATTCTGCCATTAAATGGACTTTGTCTGGTATACATACAAACTTACACCAATTTATTACCATTCTTCCATTATTAATTTCAAATGTAATGTATACTGTCTAGTTTTTTTTCCTCTCGCCATTACTTGGTGCAATATTTGAAAGTTGTCTATTTATTTATCGATCTATCTATTATCTTGTATTTATATTTACAAGTTTCTGTGCTTGGAAGAAAACTCTGCATTGAATTGGGACTAATTTATTAAATAATATTAATTAGTAATAATTAATATTTACAATTATTATTAATTACAATTATTTATAGCTTAGTTACTTTCATGTAACTCGCAATCGTACATTCTTAACATTAATAGGCCAAATTAGCACATCTTGCTTTTCAATGAGCCCAAAAAGTAGCAAGTAGCGAAATTAAAAATTTGGGAGCGCGGGGCTCTCAAAAGTAGCCCAATTCGCTATTTGTAGCCCAATCTGGCAACACTACTGTTGCTAAATATGACCGAAAAAATAAGATTAATAATTCTAACACGAATTTTCTCAATATTTCTTATGTTTCTTTTTACTATCGATGGTA